CAGCTTCTTAAATCGATCTGTTCTGGCTCCCTGGGTTTATGGTGTGAACTTCTGTGGTAGGATACCTGTGAGTTTCAGTGGTGCAGTCTCCTTGATCTCTTGAGCTCACTGGTCTTGGGCTGTTGTTTAAGTTGGCTCTGTGTTTGTCTTTGAGTTTTGATTGTTGTTGAGTCTTTCTTTAGTGGATCCTTCCCACCAGCTGGTTAACTGAGGGTCACTCTGTCCACCACCTCTTGTATTTTGTTGTGCTGGTGAGGGCAGTTGTTGTGTTGAAGCTGGGTCTTCCGAGTATACAAGGTTATGAGGATTCTGTCTTGCTCTTGTTCAGTTGTTTGTACTAGGTAATTTCTCGACTATTGAGTTGTATTTCCAGATAGGTTTTGGATTGAGGTTACTGTGGCTTTCACTCCCTCCTTCACCTTCTTCTGTTGTTATCTGTTGGTGGTTCCTTTGTTGTTGGGTTTCCTCTTCCAGCGAGTATCCTGGTGTTCACAGATTTCACCTACTCTTTTTTTGTAATCAGTTGGAGGGCAAGGCAAAATAGTTTAAAACAGCAAGAGAGTATTCTATGATATTTACAGTATCAGCCAGTAGAGAAGAGATAGGAGATCCTTTGGCTATGTATAATGTTAATGGTGATCTTCCACCCGACTAGCCACTTTTAAGAAAGGATGAAAAGAAGATAAGTCTCTTGTTGGGGAGGGAAGGATTGTGAGTTGGATCTAGAAAGCAGTGAGGTTGTGGGAGGTCAGATTCTGAGATAAGGTGAGAGTAAAGGATAGTAAATAGGTGTAGTGTGTGAGCAAATAGAGTTAACCAGTACAGTAATAGAGTTCAGGAAACTGTGAAGTGGGCTAAGATCCAGGAGGGGTGTTGTGAAGCATTTACAATTGTATGGAACAGCTATTATTTACAATAATATTAGAGCAACAATCATATGACAGAATCTGTGTGAACTGGATAACAAGAATAGGGAGTATAGGACCTTAAGTAGTGTGCTAATGGCACACAGTGAAGTGAAGGACAGTAAACTAGCAAATACACTATGAATGAGACAACAGGGGAAATCTGTCAAATGATACAATATAACCAGCCAAGCAGAGAAGACTATACAGAAAGAAGAGAAATACGAAAATACTATTAAAATAAAAGATGTAAGAATAATGAAAAAATAATAATACAAATATGCAATAACTTGCAGGTTCTCGTAATAGCAAAGTGAAATTTGTCTCACTGTCTCAGCCGTTGGGGTGCCCCCCCTCTTTTGGTCCACCTCTGGTCTTTTCACAGTTCCAGGTTTTTCTGTCTCACTTGTGGGTATTTAAAAAAAATGCAGAAGAAGGAAGGAAGAAGAGATAAAATTGGAAGGGAAAGAAGAAGGAATAAAACAAGAAAGAAGGAAAGTGAGGGAAAAGGAATTGAAAGATAAAAAATACTAAAAATTAAAAAATAAAAAATTACTTTTAAAAAAAAACTCTTGTTGTTTACAAACTGGCCAGACCAGTTTTTCTGGTCTTGCTGGCTGCAGCAGACTGAGGGGCCATTGGTATGGCTTTTCTCCCTTCCTGATATGCACTCAGTCACCTTCAGGCACTCTCCCCAGAGCTAGCCTGGCACCTCTCCTTGGCGCCTTGGGTGTGGGATCCAGGTCTTCCTCAGAGTGTTCTTCCCCCCCAGGCTACCTCTGTGGGCTTGGGTACACTCTCCACCAGGCTGCCCTGGTGTCAGGGGTTTGGGCGAGCACCCTTCCCAGTGCCAAGGCGGTGCACCGGGCCTCCCGTGCAACCTTTTCTCACAACCTCGGATAGCTGCCAGGCTGGGTGGGGGGGAGCCAGAGGTGCTGCTGCTGGAGAATTCCCCAAACAGTCTCTCGTTTCACTTTTTTTTTTAATATATCTTATTAATTATGCCATTACAGTTCTGTTTCCCCCCTTTATTCCCCTCCACCCTGCACACCCCTCCCCCACCATTCCCCCCTTAAGTTTATCACCACGTATCTCAAGTTCTTTAGATTCTATGTTTCCTCTACTATTCTTGCCCTCCCCCATCTATTTCCTACTACTGTCTATGCTATTTATTTTCTGTACCTTCTCCCCCCTTCTCCTCCCACTCCCCTGTTGCTAACCCTCTATGTGATCTTCATTTCTATGGTTCACTCCTGATCTAGCTGTCCTCTTAGTTTGTTTTTGTTTTAGGTGTGATTGTTGATAACTGTGAGTTTGCTGTCCTTTCACTGCTCATCTTTTTTATCTTCTTTTTCTTAAGTAAGTCCCTTTAACATTTCATATAATAAGGGCTTGGTGATGATGAACTCCTTGAATTTGATCTTATCTGAGAAGCACTTTATCTGCCCTTCCATTCTAAATGAAAGCTTTGCTGGATAGATCAATCTTGGATGTAGGTCTTTGGATTTCATGACTTGGAATACTTTTTCTTTTTGAGAAATTCCTCCTACTCCAGCCTGCTGCTCAGTACTGTGGCCTGGCCTCTGGCTCAGCCCAGTTCTCCAGCCAGACTGGTGACTATTGGAGTCAGGTCCCCTCACATGGAGACTCTCAACTCTCCCCAACCAGCATCCACAAACTCTGTGGGTGCTCCCAGCCCCCTTGTGTTTGCCACTTGGTATTTATTCCCCTCTCTGTGACTTTAAGCAACCAGATCTCTCCCGGTGCTCCTGCAACCTTGTCTGGCAGGGGAGGGAGCAGTTGCCCTGGCTCTCTCCCCAGGACCCTGTGGCAGACCCAACAAATACCAAGCCTGGGACTGCAGCCACCCTGGTCCCAGGAACTTACTGTCCTGAAGCACTCTCCTTACTGTCCAGTTTTTCAGTGTCCGCTACAATTTTTGGTCTCTTATTTTCATATATGCTGTGGTACTGTTGGCTGTCTGCTCTTTTCCTCTGTAGATCGGCTAGGGTTTTCTCCTGTGTAGAAGGGAGTAGAATCTGCTTCCTCCTACCTGGCCACCATCTTCCCCCCATGAACTAAACATTTAAATATAAAATTTACACTGTTACAGCAATAGAAGAAACTATGGGAGATTTTGAAAAATAATTTTGGAGCAAGAAGAGGACTTTCTAACTATAACAAACCCCAGAATCCTAAAAAAATCAATGACTGTGCCTCCATGAAAAGATTTCAAATGCAAAATGGACCATGTGCAGTCAAGGTCAAATGACAAGCAAAAAAAATATTTGTATTTCATATCATAGCTATAAGACTTATTTCCTTACTACTTAATGTATTTCTATGAATAAATTAGAAAATAAAAGTTAATAGCTAAGTGGGGAAATAACATGCCAAGATAGCTTATAACAAAGGAATTATAAACATCTTTTGAATAGAACTTTTCTTCACTTTTCTCAAAACAGTGTGCCCTGGCTGGTGTGGCTCAGTGGATTGAGCACTGGCCCATGAACCAAAGGGTCACCAATTTGATTCCCAGTCAGGGCACATGCCTGGGTTGCAGGCCAGGTCCCTGGTAAGGGGCTCATGAGAGGCAACCACACATTGATCTTTCTCTCCCTCTCTTTCTCTCTCCCTTCCCCTCTCTCTAAAAATAAATAAATAAAATAAAATAAAAACTGTGTAAGTAAACATATTCTGATTATACTTTTTAAAGTATATTTTATTAATTATACTATGACGTTCCATTTTTTTCTCCCCTTTATTTCCCTCTGTCCTACATTCCCCCACCCACCCACATTCTCCCCCTTAGTTCATGTCCGTGGGTCAGACATATTAGTTCTTTGGCTTCTCCATTTTCTATACTGTTCTTAACCTCCCCCTGTCTATTTTGTACCTACCATTTATGCTTCTTATTCCTTGTCCCTTTTCCCCCATTCTCCACCCACCCCCTCCCCACCAATAACCCTCCATGTGACCTCCATTTCTGTGATTCTGTTCCTGTTCTAGTTGTTTGGTTTTAGGTTCAGTTGTTGATAGTTGTGAGTTTGTTGTCCTGATAGTACTTCTTACTCTCTTCCCTTACTGTTTAAGGGAAGGCAGGTCAGTAATCCCATCTGAGAGAACTGCAATTTACATTCCCCTTGAGCCTGCAATCCCACTTCTCAAATCTGCCCAGCAGACACACTGATCCAGTGACAATTTTTTTTTACAGTTTATTCATTACAGCATTGTTTATTGTTGTGAATATTTGCAGCAGTATATCTCAGCTACATCTAAGTAAATAACCTATGGTACATAATACAATACTAAAAGACAGAATATTCCACAATAGTTAAAATAATGAAGAAACTAATGTACTGATAATGGATAGTCTCTAAGATATGAAATTAAGTGAAAAGCAAAAGGCTTAAAAAGTGAGAATGGTCTTCTACTATTTGTATAAAGAATCATATATAATAATTAATTTCAAATATGTAAAATATTTCTAAAAATATACCATATCATGGATACTACCAGCTGCTGCTTCAAGGGAGGACAAGTGAATGGCCTGGGACCGAGGTGAGAGGGACACTGTGTTACTGAATACCACTTTGTGTCTTCTGAGTTTTAACTATTTAAATAAATTCTTTATTCAAAATAGTGAGCAATGTTTTCAACATTGTAACAAGGTAAAATGTATTGTTAAAATATCTAGTTTGCTACTTACAATACTGTAACTAAAATCAAGATCCACTTTATCTTCCTTCTGCTTCTATTTGAAGTCTGCCGCCTCTGTGTTGAAAAAAATGAAACAAAATATTTGACCTTTTGTAGGCACTACTCGGGGACAGCTTAGTGAACCACCCCACAAACACTTGTCTTTGTTTTAAAGTTCCAGCCAGAGAGCAGATAATCTTGGGAGAAATATTGTTTAAATTGTGATATCACTCAAACACATGCCTGATAGTCTGTGTCTTTAAAAGTTTATGAGTGAGTGAGTGAGTGAAATAAGAAGTGACTGTAAAATAATTTTAGTAAATTTTGATTTTAAGGACTTGGGGGGAAATGACCGGAAGACTAAAAGTGTGATGGTAGTCTTGTTTTCTCTTTCAGATATTAAGCACCGCCGAATACCGATCTTATTCTTTGCAAACAAAATGGACCTTAGAGATGCAGTGACATCCGTGAAAGTGTCTCAGTTGCTGTGTTTAGAGAACATCAAAGATAAGCCATGGCATATTTGGTAAAGTTTTAGATTTATTCTTCATTTTGTCATTTTGAAAAAATCTCCAAGCTTCAGTGTTTATTTTCTAAGTTCATTTTATAAATGACCTAACATGGTAGGATATAAGCTAAGGATTTTATTTTATAGAATGTGGCATTGCAGGTGTTGATGACTATATTACTATTAAAACCTTTCAAATCTTTTGAGGCATTGAAAAATATAAACAGTTCTTTAAGAAAATAAATTAAACAACCTGCTTACTCACTCAACTTCAACCCTGCTGATTTCCTTCTACACACTGAATAAGCCAACCACAATTCCATCTGAGGGTGTTTCAACTTGTTACGCCCTTTGTCTATATTATTCTCCAAAATAATTGTGCTGAGTACCTTCAGGAACCTCTCCTGATAATGCTCTAAAACAATCATTACCTTACCCTGCCTCATGTTTACCTTTCTTTGCTTTTTATGTTGCTATGTGACCTTTTCCCTTTTTTTCCTTTGTTTTATAGTTTGTCTTCTTATACTAGTGCATTAGCACCATGAAAATTGGGGTTTTATAGGCTTTCTTCATTCTAAGCCCTGGAATTGTAGTACATGGTACTTAGTAGGTTCACAATAAATACTTGTTTATTTGAATAAATATAAATGGAAATAATAATCTTACTTGGACATACTAATAAGATTGAATTCATAAATAATGTCTGAAATTATTTTACATTATTAGTATTTAATGCCTACCACAACCTGTCGTTGAACTCCCTTACCCTATGAGGTTTCCCCTTTTTATAAGATGGTATATATGGAGAAAGGCTGAACACAGAGGCAGAGAAATCCATGGCCTGTAGCAGAGAAAATACAAAGCAAGGAGTTAGTAGGGCTCAGAAAAGAACTCGAAGAGCTGCCCTTGGTGCTGAAAGTAATAGAAGAGAGCTGAGAAAGCCCTGGAAGCTCCTCAGTACTCAAGGCCTCCCGCTCCCCTACTCAGGAGTGAAACACCATCTATCTCAAGTAAAACCCTCCCTTCTTTGGAATCAGAAGAAAAGTCTTGGGTTAGAATTTGAGGTTCTGTGGTATTTTGTTGGTGAAGAATGGAGGGATTTTGAATAGAGAAATATCCAAAGATGGAACCTTTGCATATCTGTACATCATTTAGGTAAATCACATCTATGTTGATAATGTCTAAAGTAGAATAATTTTAATTTTTCCATTGTATTAAGTATTGTGAGTGGTTTGATAGAAAGTAATACATTCAAAAACATGAGTCTAATTAGTCAAAGATGCAGTCCTACTTCTAATTTTGAGGAGGAAGTTAATTTTGCAAGTGAAAAAAATCTCTAATTAAAATAATTAGCACTTGAAATTTTAAAAACTTACTGAGTTGTGACATCTAAATATTTTTCAGTGAGAGAAAAAGTAATATCCTAATGCTATGACAATGCAAAATATTACATTTCCAGTTTTCATGTTTTATGTATAACTTACAGAAGAATGCCAAGTATTTCTTTAAATTGGTGATTTTGCTTTCTTAATTCAAACTGGACATCTCTAAGTTTCAATTACTTAGTGAATTTCAAACTTCATTTGTTAAGATTTTTTATTTTTAATGCATGTATAAAATTGAAAATAGATGTATTCTTTTCCAGTTTTAGAGGTAAAGGTAATGCGCAGTGATGTAGAGATAAAATATTGCATGTCTCTTCCTACAGGTACAAGTAAATTTGCTGGGCAACAAAAGATTATAGAGAAGTATAGTCTGAAAAATTAAAAGAAACTTTTATAGTTTATTTTGAACTAGTGTACTAAACATATAGTCAACTCTTATTTTCAGGATCTTATTGCAGTATTGTTCTTCCTGTGTGTGCTGTGACTCAGTCCCCGACATGATATGTATGTTGTTTGATTATTTAAAATCTTGTAAGGTAGACAGATAATAAAACAGGTAAATAGATAACTATAAAATGTCAGCTGGAAAGGTGAAGAAAAATAAAATAGGATAATATTAGATAAAAGAAATAATGAGAGATACTCCCTCTCTGACATGTAGTTGAAGTCAGGGAGGAGTTTACACAAAGATTTGGGGGGAAAAAAAACCTTTCCAAATAAAGAGGCCAGGTAGTGAGAAGGCTCTTGGGTGAAAATGTGCAATATCTGGTATATTTCAGGAATAACAAGACGTCCAGGCTGACAGGAGCAGAGACATCCAGGATGGATTTGTAGGACATAAGACCACTGAGCAATAACCAGGGGCCATATCACATAGGGCCTGGTAGGACATGGTGAAGACTTTGGCTTTTATTTAGTTATAGGTCTTATGGCTTATTTGAAAGGAAAGCAGAATTCAGACAGTTGGGAATGAGTAGGAAAAGATGCAGGGCCTTTAGTAGGGTAGTTAGTGACTCTTCCACCAAAAGGGAAGGATTTCCCCAATATATTACTTACTTGATACTGTAGTCTTGTTCGGGACTGTGGTGTGATAAAATCAATATATTCATCTTTGCTGATATAAGTATTAATTACTGATGTTTTGCTATTGATACAGATAATCCATAGTTTGCTTTGAATAATTGTGTATCCCATGCTGTTTGTCTTTATTTTTAAGATATAAGTCATATTCATAATCTAATAAGTAATTCCTTGGAAGTAATTTCTGATTTGATTAGAATCAAATTAACTCTTATAGGTAACTTAGTACATATGTTTTAGTATATTTTATTTATTTATTTATTTTTTTAGTTTCATATATTTCTTTTTTTTAATTTTTTTTATTGATTATGCTGTTACAGTTGTTCTATTCCCCCCCCTTCATTCCCCTCAGCCCTAACCCCCGTCCCCACCATTCCCCCCCTTTAGTTTATGACCATATGTCTCAAGTCCTTTAGATTCTATATTTCCCATACTATTCTTGCCCCCCCATCTATTTTCTATCTACTGTCTATGCTACTTATTTTCTGTACCTTCTCCCCCCTTCTCCTCCTCCCACTCCCCTGTTGCTAACCCTCCTTGAGATCTTCATTCCTATGTTTCCACTCCTGATCTAGCTGTCCTTTTAGTTTGCTTTTGTTTTAGGTGTGGTTGTTAATAACTATGAGTTTGCTGTCCTTTCACTGTTCATGTTTTTTATCTTCTTTTTCTTAGGTAAGTCCCTTGAACATTTCATCTAATAAGAGCTTGGTGATGATGAACTCCTTGAATTTGATCTTATCTCATAAGCACTTTATCTGTCCTTCCATTCTAAATGAAAGTTTTGCTGGATAGAGCAATCTTGATTGTAGGTCTTTGGATTTCATGACTTGGAATACTTCTTTCCAGCCCCTTCTTGCCTGGAAGGTCTCTTTTGAGAAATCTGCTGACAGTCTGATGGGAACTCCTTTGTAGATGACTGTCCCCTTAGCTCTCGCTGCTTCTAGAATTCTCTCCTTCATTTTAATCTTGGCTAATGTGATGATGATGTGCCTTGGTGTGTTTCTTCTTGGGTCCAACTTCTTTGGGACTCTCTGAGCTTCCTGGATTTCCTGGAAGTCTATTTCCTTTGCCAGATTGGGGAAGTTCTCCTTTATTATTTGTTCAAATAAGTTTTCCACTGGTGGCTGTTCCTTTCCCCCTTCTGGTACCCCTATAATTCGGATGTTGGAGCATTTAAAGATGTCCTGGAGGTTCCTAAGCCTCTCCTCATTTTTTTGAATTCTTGCTTCTTGACTCTTTTCTGTTTGGCCATTATTTGCTTTCTTCTGGTCCACTCCATTGATTTGAGTCCCAGTTTCCTTTTCATCGCTATTGGTTTCCTGTGCAATTCCATTCATTTCAATTAGTTTCGTCTTCATATGTTTGTCTAATTTGTGGCTATAATCAACCAGTTCATTGAGGATCCTGATCACCAATGTTTTAAACTGTGCGTCTGAGAGTTTTGCTATTTCTTCATCACTTAGATTTATAGGCTCTGGGGCTTTGAGATCTTCTTGAGCCATTTTTAGTCTGTTTGTGCCCGTTAAGTCTGAGGAGCAGAGCCTTGGACTCCCAAGTCACTGGGTTGTGACTCTGTATGTGGAGGCGTGGTCAGAGTGGGGAAATGGCGCGGCCCCTTCTGCTGTTACTAGCAGCTGGGTGAAGAGCAGAGCTGTAGGTTGTTCACCGGGGCAGGGCCACTTTGTTTTAGTATATTTTAAAATCATGCTTCAACACACTAAAAGGAACCCTAATTCAGAAAATCGAATTATGTATTCTGTTGCTCTTACATGATTATATTTTAAAAGGAAATGACTACTTGATCAGTAAAATATTATGAGAAGCTATCCGACTGTGTCTTGGGAAGGATTGATACTCAAAAAATTTCTAGCATTTTGTTTTAGTTTATATAACTTAATTATAATTATTTATAAAATAATCACAGTGAGGATTTAAATTTACTCCCAAGAATAGAAAGACCTTGAAAAGACCCTGATAGATATATAGATATAGAAATGTGTGTGTGTGTGCATGTGTGTATATATATCTCAAATATTTGTTTTCTTAATTTATTTATTTAATTGTATACCTCAAATATTTAATTCTCATAGTAACCATATGAGGTCAATGATAAAATATTCCCCCATGTTACAGACACTAAAATTTAAGCCAATGAAAAATGGCTTAAATTATTATTACTAAAATTTCCTGGGTTTTTTTTATTATACCAGTTTACCAAAGTTATAATTATAGGTTTATACCCTATAGGTATCAAATTCCATTTCAAATAAAGTCACTCAATCTATGGCTAAATGACATCCTAAGTCAAATATTTCTAATAAATAACTGCTCTTTAGTCACTGGGCAAAGTAGGAAGGAGGGGACTCTAAAACATTTCTACCACTGGAAAAAATAACTCAAAGTATGTTTTGTTAATGTCAGTCTGAGTACTGTTCCTAAAGTAATAACTTTTGTTGATACACTTTTTAAAATGTCATACCAATTAAATCAGTACAAGTTAGAAATAATTTTCTCATGTCCTCCTCCAGAACACTTAGACTTTTATTTTCCATGTACATTCAGCTTCGGCGCTTAACCAGTTTTGTTCAGAAATGTGTTACTAGAATATATTAAATGGCTATGTGGAAAAGTTGTGGTTGTTTATTCTTGTGGTTCTGTGATATAATGAAATGGCTGTGTTTCTTACGGACTTTGTTTCAGTGCTAGTGATGCCATAAGAGGAGAAGGACTGCAAGAAGGTGTAGACTGGCTTCAAGGTACATCACAAAACACTGTTCATCTTCAGCCTTTATTTCCTTTCCATTCACATTTGTCTTTCCTTTTTTTTAACATTTTTTTATTCTATCACTGCCTTTTCCCCCTTGTTTTCATTTATTTCTGCCTTCAGAAAATGCACTACAGTAAGTATCCAGTACCTTACTCCATTTACTTCTATTACATTTTTCTAAAAAATTTATTGAAGTAAAGTGTTTGATTTTTTACAATTACATGACAACTGTAGAAATAATTTTAATTTATAGCAATAAATTTCCATGAGAGCTAGTAATAGAAGCACATTTGAAGTTTGGAACAAATTCTAGACCTTACTGTCAATAACTTAAAATAAGTCTGCATGGCATGTATTTTAAGAATGCTTTACTCCATATATATCTTCATTTACATATAACATGTTTATATAACCTTTAACACCCATGTTTAGAATTGTAAATACTGGTATTTTATTGATGCTTTGTATATTTTGGTTCTGTTTGTTATTCTTCAAAATTCTTATATTAGGTTAGTACATGCTTACTATGTCAAGGAATAAATTAAGATACATCATTTTATAAATTTAAAAAAAAGATACATCACTTCTCCTTCCTTGGCTGATGTGGCTCAGTGGATTAAGCACCAGCCTGGGAATCAAAGGGTCACAGGTTTGATTCTCAGTCAGGGCACATGCCTGGGTTGTGGGCCAGGTCCCCAGTAGTGAGTGCACAAGAGGCAACATTGAAGTTTCTTTCCCTGTCTTTCTCCCTCCTTTCCCCTCTGTCTAAAAATAAATAAATAAAATCTTTTTTTTAAGAGATACATCATTTTTCCTAAGTTTACATTGTCTGCTAGTTACAGGAACGGCTTGAAGCACAAATATCCACACGGAGCAGAAGTAAATGAAACTGAGTTCATTAGGTTCTTATTACAGGCCATGAGGGTCAAGCCAAGAAATTTTCATTTGTGAGAACAACTGAGAATCATTCATATTAGGCATCTCCTGCTCTGAACAAGGGTGAATAACAAGATATTATAAATTCAAGTTTTAGTCTTATGGCTATCAACTGAATTCTTCGACACTGTCCTTTTAATTCCAGTTATATGTGGGTTTTTTTCCCTCCTCTGTATGTCATGGTGGATCTTTGAACCCCCAAAATATTATTTATGTATGGGCAAGAGTAGCCTGTTTATCTGTGCATTGAAATAATATTGCTTTGATTCAAAGTACTAAATATATTTTTATACATTATCAGTAAAATATGGTATTTTAGTTAATTTCACAGACTGTTACCAATTTTTCTCCATTGTATTTATGGAGTCATCATGATATTTACCATAAACTGCAAAGAAAATTCTAGTCATAATTTTTTTCATCATCCAAGGATATTTTCATTGATTTTAGAGAGAAGGAGACGGGTGGAGGAGAAAGAGAGAGAGACATTGAGTGGTTGCCTCCCCTGTGCACCCAGACTGAGGATCAAACCCGCAGCCTAGGTGTGTGCCCTGACCAAGACCAAACCTGCAACCTGTTGGCATACAGAGACAACGCTCCAGCTAACTGAGCCACCTGGCCAGGCCTAGTCATAATTTTATAATTAAGTGAAACTTAATTGAGAACTTCTAGTGGTTCTCAGAATAACTATTGGAATTTTTCTGTGAACACACCAACTTAGTTTCATAGACTGTGGTAAAGAAGTAGTCAAGGGACTGATTCCTTTTGTTTTATAGGGACAGCCTATAAAACATAGGTTGCAGAGGAGTGTTACAGACAAACATATTTTCAGCCTTGATTTCTTCTTTACAAGTGCTTATTATTGCTCACAGTGAAGATATAGTGTGGATCAAACCCTATAATTGTTCATACCAAAGTAATTCAAAGCATAGTAATCACTAAAAAGTAGGTTGAGAGAGTCATCTGAATTTTACATCATAGCTTGTTCCCTTTTTTTTTTTTTGAGGGGGAGGGAAGTACATATTTTGTCACAATGAGGCCACTAGGTGTTAGTAATAATCCATCACCACAGTGCCATTTGCCAACTCTTGTCTGTCACCTAATTTTTGTATCTCTGACTTTTCTGATTCATTATCTTTTCATCTCCCCTTCCAAGTCTTTGCAAAGAAGGTACATTGTTGGAAATATTTTTGTGCACTTGTGTTGCCAGGTTTTATATAACTGTTGCAACAGCTCTTTGCATGGTTAGTTGAATCCCTGTTTTATGTAGGTGTCATGGAATAGTATTTAAAAAGCACCTGAGCCCTTGAGTCTACTGTATTCATTCCACTAACTATTATTAATTAACATCCTTTATCTTATGAATATTATTTTCTTCATCTGTAAAATTAAAAAATAAAACGTCAGAATTGTACAGATTAAATGAAACACTGTATGTATTAATCCCTAGCATAAGAAAACACTCAATAAATGTTAAATGTACCTACCCTTTTACCAACTGCTCTATTTAATAAAGAAGGAAACTTTGTACATAGATTAAAAAGTTTATCAGTCTGGGTTTGAATAGGAGATCCTTTGGTCATAATTCTTATGTAATAGTAATTTGTAATTTGATGCTCCTGTCTCACTGGATTTCAAAAGAGGCAGAAACCTATTTTACAAAATAAGTAACAGTGTGTAGGAGATTTGCCTGTGTCTATAACTAACTTATTAGGCATAAGTTTTTATGTAAATCTAACTCTGAAAGATGTTCTGGATTTATCTCTTCATTTTGCTTCCAAAATTCTGAAATTTCCTAGCATGATAAACAAGAAGGCCCTTGAACCAATTTAATCTTATTATTTAGTAGTTAAGATTGAAAGTCCAGGGGTAAAATATTAAATGACACATTTTGTGCCGTGATTCCATTCTTTTTTGGAAGGAGCCCCAGTGATTACCTCTGAATTGCAGCCCAAAGACAAGAATCCCTGAGGAGATTATGAAGTGTTTTTTTAAAAACCAACCGAGAATATATGGAGATCATCACAGAGATATAAGTTGTTTTCTAGCTCTGACACTTTGAAGTAAGATATTTATAAAAAGAAATCCTCCCATGTGAAAAAGGCAACTTACTCATTTTATCACTTTGGATGGGAAAGGTTAATACTTTCAGATTTTAATAGAGGACTTATAAACTATTCATATGATTGTTGCAGAGAAAAAGGATCGAACACACACTTAGTTTCATCTCCTCCTCAAATCTCACTAAGAATAAAGGGACTTTTGTTTAAAGACATTAACCCTCAAGGGCAAAGAGAACAGGAGTGACAAAAATGGCAACCAAATTTTGGAAGCTGAATATCTGATGAATGTTAAATGACTTACCAGATCAGATGACTGCTGAATGGTTTACCAGACCTAAAGACCTTTCCCTTAACAGAGAAAGCAGAATACTGAGCTAGCACTGGGGAAAGCTGGAAAGCATCCTAATTTATATTGCGCATCCCCTCAAGGGCTCGATGTTGGTGAAAATGTAAATCAGATAAGTTGGGGCTGAAAAGAAGACAAAGTCTTCCATCTTTATTCCAAAAGGGGACTAGAGGTTAATCTTCTGCAGAGTCAGACAGCCTATCTCTGCACTAGCACAACTGCATGTAGTAGTTCTGAGCTGAAAATGATGAGTGACCGAAGTTTTCATACCAAATATTTCATTCGTTTCTGCTTTGTGCATCTTTCAGAAGACGCTGGCAGTAGGCAGGAAATAGAAAGTCATTTCCGAGGAATCAGAAGCCTAAGAGAGAAGACCTTGTGGTGTTAACATCAGAAATTCCCAAGGAGATTCCTCAGCTAGGGGCACTAGAATGAAAACCATATTTGACAAACCTAACGCACATATCAAAATTCCAATCAGCCATACAGTGTTTATTCATACATGTGGGAAGGTGGCAAAGGGTCATCAGGCATATGAAGACAAAAACATGAATCATGGAACATGAACAGGAAAAGTTAGGTTAGAGAAAGTGGAATTTACTTAGAACATTTCAAAAAACAAGCATCAAAAAGAAAGAATCAAAAACTGAGCTTTTGGAAAATAATAATAGAATACTAGACATGGAAAACTCAGTTAAAAGAAGATAAATAGCCCTGGTTAGGTGGCTTGGTTGGTTGGAGCATCATCCTGTACACCAAAACATTGCAAGTTCAATCCCCTGTCAGGGCACGTGCTGGGTTGGCCAAAAGGTTCATTCAGTTTTTTCCATAAAATACCTCTAGTAGCACTTAGTTGTCTTCAACTTCATTTGAAACAATGTTATTAGACTGTATTGTGACAGCTGTTTTATCAGCATGCATTTAAAAAAACTTATCAAAATTGGTGAATTTTTGTGTAGCATTTTAACATTGAAGAGGGAAGAAAATAAGCAACATTTTCAGCATGTTATGCTTTATTATTTCAAGAAAGGTAAAATGCAACTGAAACACAAAAAGATTTATACAGTGTATGGAGAAGGTGCTGTGACTGATCAAATGTGTCAAAAGTAGTTTGTGAAGTTTCATGCTGGAGATTTCTTGCTGGATGTTGCTCTACCATTTGATAGACCACTTGAAGTTGATAACAATCAAATTGAGGCATTAATTGAGAAAAGTCAACATTATACCATGTGGGAGATAACCAACATACTCAAAATATCCAAATTGAGTGTTGAAAATCACTTTTCACCAGCTTGGTTATGCTAATGGCTTTGATGTTTGGGTTCCCCATAAGTGAAGCAAAAAGAACTTTCTTGACCATATTTCTTCATGTGATTCGCTACTTAAACCTAAGGAAAGTATTCCATTTTTAAAATAAATTGCGACAGGTGATGAAAAGTGGATACTTTACTAATGTGGAATGGAAGAGATCATGGAGCAAGTGAAATGAACCACCACCAACTACACTAAAGGCTGGTCTTCATCCAAAGAAGATGATGTTCTGTATGTGGGATTGGAAGGGAGTTGTCTATTATGAGCTCCTTCCAGAAAACCAAACATTAATTCCAAACAGTACTGCTCCCAGTTAGACCAGCTGAAACCAGCACTCAACAGGAAGCGTCCGAAATTAGACAACAGAAAATGCATAATCTCCCATCAGGATAATGTAAGACCACATGTTTAATGGCCAGAGAAAAACTGTTACCGCTTGGATGGGAAGTTCCAATTCATGTGCTGTATCCACCAGGCATTGCATTTTCAGATTACCACGTATTTTGGTTTACACAAATTCTCTTAATGGAAAACTTTTAATTCCCTGGAAGACTGCCAAAGGCACCTGGAACAGTTCTTTGCTTGAAAAGATAAAAAGTTTTGGGAAGATGAACTCATGAAGCTACATGAAAGATGGCAGAAGGTAGTGGAACAAAACAGTGAGATACATTTTTCAATGAAGTTATTAGTGAAAATGAAAAATTTATCTTTTATGGATTACTTTAAAACTGAACGAACATTTTGGCCAACCCAATACTTAGATTGCAGGTTCAATCCCCAGTCAGGGCATGGAAGGGAGGCAACCAATTGGTCTTTCTTTCTCTTTCTCTTTCTCTTTCTCTTTCTCTTTCTCTCTCTCTCTCTCTCCCCTTCCCTCCCCTCCCTCCCCCATCTTCCTTTCTCCCCTTTCCTGTCTTTCTAAAATCAAGAAACATATCTTTGGATGAGGATTTAAAAAAAGGAATAAAGGCAATCTCAGAAAGTAGAGCAAAAAGACAAAGAATAGAAAATTGGAAAGAAAAGATAAAAAAGTAAGGGGTCAGGTTTAGGAGGCCCAATATCTTAATAGTAGGAATTTCAGAAAGAACAGAGAAAATAGAGGGGAGAAAAATCATCAAATAAATTATCAAACAGTATTTTCAAGAACTGAATGATGAGTTTTTAGTTGAAAAGCCTCTTGAGACCTCAGTGCAGTGGATGAAAGTGTTCTCACACCAAGGTACATCATTATTAAAGGTCAACACTGAAGACCATGGAAGAGTCTACAAATTTCTTGAGAAGAAAATAAGAGTTTTTGTGTAAAGGATAAGGATACAGAATAGCATCATACTTTTCAGCAGCAACACTTGGAAGCTGTAACATAATTGGGCAGTGCCTGGAACAGTCCTGGCACCTGTGTTCTCAGCCAGTATCAGTGTGTTGTGACTGCAGAATGAAGACATCTCCATCCATGTAAAGTCTCAAGAATTTACTTTCTATACCTTTTACTAAGGTAGATACTGAAAGGTGTACTCTTCAGACGCAAGGGAATAAGCCAAGGAGAAAAAAATAAGGAGTCATGAAACAAGTAGACTAGCACAAGGGAGTGATAGTGGAGATCCTAGAATGACAGTGAAAGACCTTGTATTAAAATAACTGGGCAAACATAGAAAACAACTGAGACAGTTTAGAGAGTTATGGAGCACTCTAGAGAAATTGATAAGGCTATGTAATGTGCTTCATAGTTACAAAAGCTTAAACAATATAGAGTAGTGGGACTGAAGTAGTATTAAGTATGTTAAAAAGCAGAGAGGGGTGAGGATAAGGAACAATTAACACCATGGAAAACAAAATAAAGTTGAAGACAGGAAAAGTAAACATTATACCACATGTCTCAACTGTGAACAGCACAGAGTCATTATGTTACTAATGGCTACATTACTATGTTAGGAAAGGAGGAGTATTGAAAGCATTCTGAGGGTTGCAGAGACCAGAATGGGGGTACATGAGAGCTGAAGCCTCATTAAATGTAAGGAACTGATATTTCAATAAGTAATAATAAAAGATATTACTTAGACATAAAGAGGTAATCACTTAAAAGGGAGTTGGAAGTAGTTGCCTATAAAGGAGGAAGGAGATGATGACGTGAGGTACTGCTGATTTTACACAGACTTACAGAGCCAGTTGATAGACTGTGCATACACAACTTACATGAAAATTAAAACTAGTATGGATTACATTTTTTGAAAAGTGTACATAGATGTCTACTGTGTTCTTATAGATTTGCATCAGATTATGTTAAAAAATAGATTCTGCCCTGTAGAGACTGATAATTTCTTGTCTGTTTTTGTTACCAGATCAGATCCAGACTGCGAAGACTTGAAAAGATAGTATTTGGAAACCTTGGCATTTCTCAGTTCAAGGAACATATCTTAAGACAAACTGAATACATTAAATTTTTGTAAAGATATTGGTGCATCTAAAAACATTTTATGATCTGCTCGTATTTATGGACTCTGAATAAACTTTATAAGAATGTAGGATTACAGATATCCTAATCTGGCCATTAATTATATGAAAACAAATCCTCAGAAGGGCTTCCCAAACTATCAACTTCTTGGTAAAGGTCTTGATTGTAGTAAGAATGTTTATTCAGTTAAATCCATCTCACTATCTCATCATGAATTATGATATTTTAAATGTATTTTATTTTTTAGTTATCTTCTAAAAATTAGGTTTATAGTAGGACTGCAGTATGATTGTGCTAGTGAAAAGGAACTTTAAATATTTATAAGGGACCATAGTTCATTAATGTGTGTTTAGGTTTTTACTATATATCACCATCAGTAAATCAAAATGTGATATACCAACTAATGTGCTTTGTTTATGATGAAAGAATAATGCTGTGTTAATGCGACGTTGGTGTTTTACTATGAGACATTAGTAGATCTGAGACCAAGTTATGCTGAAGTTCTTTGTCCAATGAGTGTGTATTAAACATCTCTATACCAGTACTAGTCTGGCATTATCCTACACAATGGTGATTGATACAAGGTAAATAAGATACATTCCTTATCCTCAGAGAACTTAAAATTTAATGAGGGACCATTTGAGAATCTTTTAATATATCACATTTAATTTTATTTCATTGGCTGAGTGAAAATATTTTATCTTCAGATTGGGTTATAAAAATTAATGTGTAATTCTTTAATAATTATAACTGACTGCTTATTTCTTTAAAATTCCCCCAGTTTGCTATAGTATGCTGTTAAAATAGACTGTGACTCACCAAACTGTTTTTTTCTCTGAACATAAACTGCTACATAAATGTTCTTTAGAATTTTAGACATATCTCAGGTCTCTACAGTAGGAAATTGTGTTATTCTCACAACTTAATTAAAGACCACTTAGAATTATGAACTCTAAATAGAAACTTTGATTTTAAATCAAACACTAGGAAACTGTACAAAGCAGTGGTATCAATTCTGAAAATTTTTGCGTATAAAGAAAAAGTAGAATATTTGGTTTGTAACATCTTAAACATCCTTAGCTGTGAAAATACTTTTTAAAAAAAAAAACAGGCAAAAGGTGAGTAATAAAAAGGTGTTATAGTAACTGCAGTTGTTGTATATTTCCGAGATTTGAATAAAATTTTTAAGGCTATAGTAAAAGTTCTGTAATTTACTTTCTCATAGTCCTGAAATCCCATTGATTTGGAATTTAGCAAATTGAGAGTTACTCAGGGTCTTCCAGTGATCTAGCATGTTAAGCTACCTTGCCAGCCATTTATAAATTGTTTTGATGAGAATAAAAAGTGAGACTCAGTAACTGAATTGACTCAAATATAAAAGGGACATAATGATGAAAACACTGAATGTGATATACCAAAACAACAACAACAACTGTTATTCCTTAACAATTTTAGGAAGATGCAGAAAGGGGCGATTAAGAGAATTCAAGTCCTCATCCGTCATTTGGTAATAATAGCGATACTAATAGTTATCACTCCAATCACTATATTTTGAGCAAGGTATATCATATATGTGATTTGGTATCATTTAATCCTCGGTAGCTTTATGTGGTAGGCTCTATTATTTGGTTGCTAGACAAGAAAATTAAGGCCTAAAAATGTTTTTAAAATTTGCCAAAGGTCACAGAGCTAGGGAATGGTGGCGCTGGGATTCAGAACCAAACAATCTGTTTAAAATAGATGATTCAGGAGACAAGGGTGTTACAGATATTAGAAATGGACAGATACCTGCCATAAAAATAGCTAAAAGGATTGAAAGGTGTCTCACTGTGGAGGGAGACCAGGATTGGAATGGGAGGTGGTCAGAGATGAAGGACTGCTGCTTTTTTCTTGCTACTTCTTTTAAGTCTATTATCACTTCACATTTTAAACTCTGGACACAATTGACCGATAAAAATAATTCTCATGTTGGTATTCAGTTAATTAGTATTCTACAAACTATAGTAACTCACACTTATGCAAATATTTAGGCAAAATAGAAGTACCTTTTCCTTTGTTTTTATGATCTTCAGATCTGGTTTACATTATGTAAACATCCATTTTTACTCTACAATTTCATGTCAAGATTATGTAGAAGCAAATTGGGCAACAGTAGCCATAGGATGCCATATAAGTGTATATAAGCTGAGGTTGTTGTGTTTGTATTTAACGTCATGCAATTAAAATTTATTGCATTATAAAGCTCAAGCAGATGTTTTTTCATGTTTAGACGTCACTGTGTAGCCAAGCTTAATTTATAAGCTCTGCATTTCAATATAACAGCTCATGAAATGTTCAGAACTTATCCTATTGTATGTTTTGCATTTAAATATTTATATGTGGCCCTGTTCAGCCTGTGCTTTGTAAATCACAAAAGGCCTGAGTTTTATATATTTCTTTTTCATTTATAGATTGTCTGCTAAAAATTATGACCTGTCTCCTGATTGCTCAAGTTATTTTTTTTTCCTTTGGAATTGTTGGCATACCACATTGTTCTTTATTCTTGCAAATACCTAAGACATCCTGCATGTAACGCTGGTATATTTAAAACATAGCATTTTAACTGACTTTGTGCATATTTCTGCTTTCTAATTATTTCTTCTTTTTAGTTTAAAAATAAAACTAATGTTAAAATTTCACTTAATGTTGTAAAAGTAGATTGTTTATTTCTGTGCTTGGAGAGATACAATGATTAAGAAATGGTTATTGTATTTAACTGACTTGTTTCGGGCAACTTATTCCATTTCATACTGAGTCTTCCTCCTTATGGATGCTTTTGCTGGGGTTTGCAAGGGACTTCCTCAGGACCGTGACCCTTCCTTCGATCACTTAATTTCAGTGCCACGCTGGAGGATTTCTCAACATGCGTGCTAAACTGTTTTCTGGCAACTTAGTAAACCAAGGACAAATTAAATCTTTCTCCACATTTTAAGTCACCGAGTAATGCTAGAAGTCATACAGGAATGGTAGGTATTTTGAACATGTAATTTGGTTGGGAACATAATAGTAATAAACATTTTTACAGCTTTTACTATGCATCATGCATTTTCTAGGCACTTTACATAGGGTGGGGCAAAAGTAAGCCTATACAGTTCTCTGTTTGCAAAGCACAGTTTATTCTTATTTATTAATTATTGCATTACTCTACACATGGACAACTGTAAACCTACTATTCCCCATCCTGTATACAGTCATACCTCATTTTATTGTGCTTTGCTTTATTGCCCTTCATAGTTGTTGCACATTTTACAAATTGCAGGCAAGACCCTCCACCAAAGGATTACAGCTGACTTTATTGTGGTGGTCTGGGTTTGAATCCACAGTATCTCCAAGGTTTGTATGTATTAATTTATGTAAACCTCATAACAACCTTATGAGGTATATGCTGTTCTTATCTGTATTACAAATACAGGCTTTGCAAGATTTGCAAGACCTTATCTCAACACAAAGGTGTTTTTGTGCTCCCCTGAGTTAATGATTTTTACATTTTTAAAGCCACCTCATACCCATCTGAACACCACATGTAGTTATCAGAATATTCTTGACTGTTTACTATACTGTACTTTACATCTCCATGACTACTCTGTAACAACAAATTTGTACTTCTTTTTTTAAATACATTTTGTTGATTATGCTATTACAGTTGTCCCATTTTCCCCCCTTCATTCCCCTCCACCTTGCACACCCCCTCCCACCCACATTTCCCCCCTTTAGTTCATGTCCATGTGTCATACTTATAAGTTCTTTAGCTTCTACATTTCCCATAATATTCTTGCCCTCCCCCTGTCTCTTTTTACCTACCTTCTATGCTACTTATTCCCTGTACCTTTCCCTCCTCTCTCCTCCTCCCATACTCCTGTTGATGACCCTCCATGTGATCTCCATTTCTGTGGTTCTGTTCCTCTTCTAGTTGTTTGCTTAGTTTTTGTTTTAGGCATGCTTGTTAATAATTGTATTTCTTAATCCCTGCACCTTTTTTGACTCATTCTGACCCCCTACCACCTGGCAGCCATCAAAATGTTCTCTGTATCTGGGTCTGTTTCTGTTCTGTTTGTGTGTTTTTTAGATTCAGTTGTTGATAGGTATGTACTTATTGCCATTTCATTGTTCATATTTTTCATCTCATTTTCTTAAAGAAGACCCTTTAACATTTTTTAATTATTTTTTATTTTTTTATTGATTATGCCATTACAGTTCTATTCCCCCCTTCATTCCCCTCCACCCTACCCCCCCGCCCCCACCATTGCCCCCCCTTTAGTTTATGACCGTGTGTCTCAAGTTCTTTAGATTCTATACTTCCCATACTATTCTTGCCCCCCATCTATTTTCTATCTACTGTCTATGCTACTTATTTTCTGTACCTTCTCCCCCCTTCTCCTCCTCCCACTCCCCTGTTGCTAACCCTCCTTGAGATCTTCATTTCTATGGTTCCACTCCTGATCTAGCTGTCCTTTTAGTTTGCTTTTGTTTTAGGTGTGGTTATTAATAACTGTGAGTTTGCTGTCCTTTCACTGTTCATGTTTTTTTAACTTCTTTTTCTTAGGTAAGTCCCTTGAACATTTCATATAATAAGGGCTTCGTGATGATGAACTCCTTGAATTTGATCTTATCTGAGAAGCACTTTATCTGTCCTTCCATGCTAAATGAAAGTTTTGCTGGATAGAGCAATCTTGGTTGTAGGTCTTTGGATTTCATGACTTGGAATACCTCTTTCCAGCCCCTTCTTGCCTGGAAGGTCTCTTTTGAGAAATCAGCTGACAGTCTGATGAGAACTCCTTTGTAGGTGACTGTCCCCTTAGCTCTTGCTGCTTCTAGGATTCTCGCCTTCATTTTAATCTTGGCTAATGTAATTATGATGTGCCTTGGTGTGTTTCTTCTTGGGTCCAACTTCTTTGGGACTCTCTGAGCTTCCTGAATTTCCTGGAAGTCTATTTCCTTTGCCAGATTGGGGAAATTCTCCTTTATTATTTGTTCAAATAAGTTTTCTACTGGTGGCTGTTCCTTTCCCCCTTCTGGTGCCCCTATAATTCGTATGTTGGAGCGTTTAAAGATGTCCTGGAGGTTCCTAAGACTCTCCTCATTTCTTTGAATTCTTGCTTCTTGACTCTTTTCTGTTTGGCCATTATTTGTTTTCTTCTGGTCCACTCCATTGATTTGAGTCCCAGTTTCCTTTTCATTGCTATTGGTTTCCTGTGCAATTCCTTTCATTTCAATTAGTTTCGCCTTCATATGTTTGTCTAATTTGTGGCTATAATCAACCAGTTCTGTGAGGATCCTGATCACCGGTGTTTTAAACTGTGCATCTGAGAGTTTTGCTATTTCTTCACCACTTAGATTTATAGGCTGTGGGGCTTTGAGTTCTTGAGCCATTTTTGGTCTGTTCACACCCTTTAAGTGTGAGAAGACGGTGCCTTGGACTCCCAGGTCGCTGGATTGTGACGCTATATGTGGGGGCGTGGTCAGAGCCAGGAAATGGCGACCCCCTCTGTTGTTTCACGCCACTGGGTGAGTAGCCGAGCCTTAGGTGGTTCGCCAGGGTTGGGCCACTCAGAGTCGCTGGGTTATGACACTATATGTGGAGGTGGGGTCAGAGCGGGGAAATGGTGGCACCCTCCGCTGCCACCTGCGGTGGAGACCCTCTGGGTCCCGGTCCAATCGCCCACTCCCTCGCTTGTCTATCCGCGCACCAACCCACGACCACTGTCAACCCGCATCCCTGCTCCCTCGCTGTTTTCCTGCGGTTGCTGGGTCTCTCACTAGGTTCAACCCTGCGCCTGGATTCCGCGCACTTGAATCCATCTGACCGAGTTTTCCTGTGCTACCCGGATCCACCAGCTGCTGGTTTCGCCCCTTACTGGTCAGGCTGAAGAATTTGTTGTTAACAGACTTCCGAAAAGTTCAATTTTCTGTGTTCTGGCTGTTTTCTGTTGCTAATATTTAGTTGTCTCTAAACTTGGTTGTGTGAGGAAGCACGGCGTCTCCACCTATGCCTCCATCTTGGCGGAAGTCCCCCCCCCCCCTTTAACATTTCATGTAATACTGGTTTGGTGGTGATAAACCCCTTCAACTTTATCTTGTCTGGGAAGCTCATTATCGGTCCTTTGATTCTAAATGATAGCTTCACTAGGTAGCATAATCCTGGTTGTAGGTCCTTGCTTTTCATTATTTTTAATATTTCTTGCCAGTCCCTTCTGGCCTGCAAAGGTTCTGTTGAGGAATCAGCTGACAGTCTTATCGGTGCTCCCTTGTAGGTAACTTTCTGCTTTTCCCTTGCTGCTTTTGAGATTCTTTCTTTGTCTTTAATCTTTTGCATTTTAATTATGATGTGTCTTGGTGTGGGCCTCTAGTCTCTTTGCATTCATCTTCTTTGGAACTCTGTACTTCCTGAATGTGTCTATTTCCTTCACCAAGTTAGGGAAGTTTGTCATATTTTCAAATAGGTTTCCAATTTCTTGCTCTCTCCTCCTTCCAGCACCTGCATAATGCAAATGTTGGTACAGTTGAAATTGTCTCAGACACTTCTTATACTATCCTCATTTTGGTTTGCTTTTTCAATATATTTTATTGATTATGCTATTACAGTTGAGCCATTATCCCCCCTTCATTCCCCTCTGCCCTGTACACCCCTTCCACCAGCATTTCCCCCTTAGTTCATGTCCATGGTTTGTACATATAAGGCTTCTCCATTTTCTGTACTATTCTTAAGCTCCACCTATTTTGTACCTACCATTTATGCTTTTTATTCCTTGTCCCTTTTCCCCTTCTCTCCGCTCCCCCTCCCCCTCCCTGCTGATAACCCTCCATGTCATCTCTGTTTCTGTGATTCTGTTCCTGTTCTAGTTGTTGGCTTAGTTTGTTTTGTTTTTTAGGTTCAGTTGTTGATAGTTGTGAAATTGTTGTCATTTTACTGTTCATACTTTTGATCATTTTTTTCTCAGATGAGTCCCTTTAACATTTCCTATAATAAGGGTTTGGTGATGATGAACTTCACCTTATCTGGGAAGCACTTTATCTGCCCTTCCATTCTAAGTGAAAGCTTTGCTGTACAGTGTAATCTTGGATGTAAGTCTTTGCCTTTCATGACCTCAAATACTTTCCAGCCCCTTCTTGCCTACAAGGTTTCTTTTGAAAAATCAGCTGACAGCCTTATGGGAACTCCTTTGTAAGTAACTATCTTGTTGCTATCTTTTCTCTTGTTGCTTTTAAGATTCTCTCCTTATCTTTAATCTTGGGTAATATAATTATAATGTGCCTTGGTGTGTTCCTCCTTGGGCCCAACTTCTTTGGGACTCTCTGAGCTTCCTGGACTTCCTGTAAATCTAGTTCCTTTGCCAGATTGAGGAAGTTCTCCTTTATTTTTTCAAATAAATTTTCAATTTCTTGCTTTTCCTCTTCTCCTTCTGACACCACTATGATTCAGCTGTTGGAATGTTTAAAGTTATCCTGGAGGTTCCTAAGCCTCTCCTCATTTTTTTGAATTCTTGTTTCTTCATTCTGTTCTGCTTAGATTATTTTTTCCTTCTGCTCCAGACTATTGATTCAAGTCTGGTTTCCTTCACATCACTGTTAGTGCCCTGTGCATTTTCCTTTATTTCACTTTTCATAGCCTTCACTTATTTCTCTATTTTGCAGCCATACC